CATCTCTACTCCTAAACACTTCTAAACGCTACTAAAATGCTACCATAAAATGCTCAATAAACACTGGAAAAAACGCTAGGTAAAAAAAAGGCTGGTAATAGTGTTTTTTAACAGTGTTTTAGTAGCATTTAGAAACGTTTAGGAAAGTTTAGGAGCCTTAGCCTTTTTTATTAGCATTTTTACAGTGCATGTAGGAAAAAAAAGCAAGAAAAAAGCTGTTAGTAGTGTTTTAGGCTCCATGCACAATAGCTTTTTTTTAAGCTCCTAGAAGCTTTTAATAGCATTTTTTTTCTGCTCCTAGAAGCTTTTAATAGCATTTTTTTCTGCTCCTAGAAGCTAGTTAGGGTTCTCCTATGTGTCCATGCACACTACTTTAGGCTATTAGTATTTTTTTGAGCTTCAGCATCTAGAAGCAGAAAAAACATTGTTCTTGTAGAGTTTTTTGGAGCGTTTTTCCAGCAGAAAAAAAACATCAAATGCTTTTAAATGCTTCTAAACGCCCCAATATGCTACTAGTGTTACTAAACCCACAACAGTACAATCAGTCTGTAGATGCAGTACAGCATGCTTGTTATACTCACTGTGGAACCTAAGGGGTTAATCCTCTGCATTGTGTAAAAATGCAATTTGATCCTGTCTTCTCTGATCCTCCCCTGCTTCCAGTGTCCCCCTCTTATCTCCTGATAAGACATATAGTGTGGAGACACTCTGCACATGCTCAGTTTAGTGTGTATTGCTAGAGATGTTTTTTTTTTTTGGGGAGAGTGCATGTGATCAGCACAGGGCCACTCAGTGCAGACAGAGGTCAGGGGTCCTACAGCCTCATAGGACAGTCAAAGCAGAATGAAAACTCCTCCTACAAACTTTAACCAGTGCTCTGCTGGACACTGATAGAAGTCACAAAACAGCTCTAACTGCTGATGAGAAAAGGTATTTAGCAGTTTATATTTACTAAAATAATTGCATGTTCTGTGTACTGTGGAAGACCAGATATAGTGAATGCAGGGTCTGGGGAGACCTGATATAGTGAATGCAGGGTCCGGGGAGACCTGATATAGTGAATGAAGAGTCCGGGGAGACCAGATATAGTGAATGCAGGGTCCGGGGAGACCGGATATACTGAATGCAGGGTCCTGGGAGACCGGATATAGTGAATGCAGGGTCCAGGGAGACCGGATAAAGTGAATGCAGGGTCCTAGGAGACCAGATATAGTGAATGCAGGGTCCTGGGAGACCAGATATAGTGAATGCAGGGTCCTGGGAGACCAGATATAGTGAATGTAGGGTCTGGGGAGACCAGATATAGTGAATGCAGGGTCTGGGGAGACCAGATATAGTGAATGCAGGGTCCGGGGAGACCAGATATAGTGAATGCAGGGTCCAGGGAGACCGGATATAGTGAATGCAGGGTCCAGGGAGACCGGATATAGTGAATGCAGGGTCCGGGGAGACCGGATATAGTGAATGCAGGGTCCTAGGAGACCGGATATAGTGAATGCAGGGTCCGGGGAGACCGGATATAGTGAATGCAGGGTCCTGGGAGACCGGATATAGTGAATGCAGGGTCCGGGGAGACCGGATATAGTGAATGCAGGGTCCGGGGAGACCGGATATAGTGAATGCAGAGTCCGGGGAGACCAGATATAGTGAATGCAGGGTCCGGGGAGAGCGGATATAGTGAATGCAGGGTCCGGAGAGACCTGATATAGTGAATGCAGGGTCCGGGGAGACCTGATATAGTGAATGCAGAGTCCGGGGAGAGCGGATATAGTGAATGCAGGGTCCGGGGAGACCGGATATACTGAATGCAGGGTCCTGGGAGAGACCGGATATAGTGAATGCAGGGTCCAGGGAGACCGGATAAAGTGAATGCAGGGTCCGGGGAGACCAGATATACTGAATGCAGGGTCCTGGGAGACCGGATATAGTGAATGCAGGGTCCAGGGAGACCGGATAAAGTGAATGCAGGGTCCTGGGAGACCAGATATAGTGAATGCAGGGTCCTGGGAGACCAGATATAGTGAATGTAGGGTCCGGGGAGACCAGATATAGTGAATGCAGGGTCTGGGGAGACCAGATATAGTGAATGCAGGGTCCGGGGAGACCAGATATAGTGAAATGCAGGGTCCTGGGAGACCAGATATAGTAAATGCAGGGTCCAGGGAGACCAGATATAGTGAATGCAGGGTCCGGGGAGACCGGATATAGTGAATGCAGGGTCCTGGGAGACCGGATATAGTGAATGCAGGGTCCGGGGAGACCAGATATAGTGAATGTAGGGTCCGGGGAGACCGGATATAGTGAATGCAGGGTCCTAGGAGACCAGATATAGTGAATGCAGGGTCCGGGGAGACCGGATATAGTGAATGCAGGGTCCTGGGAGACCGGATATAGTGAATGCAGGGTCCGGGGAGACCGGATATAGTGAATGCAGGGTCCGGGGAGACCGGATATAGTGAATGCAGGGTCCGGGGAGACCGGATATAGTGAATGCAGGGTCCGGGGAGACCGGATATAGTGAATGCAGGGTCCGGGGAGACCCTATATAGTGAATGTAGGGTCCAGGGTTTAGTAACACCTTGAAGCAGAACTACAGTGCAGCACCACAAAGCAATGCTGCTATTTAATTCATTTTTAAAATTCATATTAAACTCCCCCATCCATCCATCTCTTCATGCTTTATTTTGCTGAAAAACCACTTTACAAAAACACCCCCTAGCATTCTGCCTGTGGCCATCTTGGGTAAGGGCAAATGATTCATGTAGCATTGACTTCCTGCATTCTATCTTCCCTTAGATCAGGCATGCACGCAGGAGGGTGTGCTTAGCTGACCAAACCACTCCTCCCTTCCTGAAGACTCCAGGGAGGTATGACATCATTAGCCTAGGCAAGAAACCAGGAAGTAACTGAAGAAACATCAAAAAATAGTTTAATAAGTAAATACAATATAGTTTCCTATCTACTAATGCTAGCAGAAGGATTATAAATAGTCAGTGTTGGTTGAGAGAGTGATGTTCCGGTTTAGGTAGCCCCTTGAGTAGTTTCCAAGCCTGTGTTTTCCATCAAGACATTACTGTGTGATTAGTATGTCTGTGTCCGTCTGGTGGTCACGCAATAGTAAAGAATACAACGATCAGCTCTGATCGACTCGCTGTGTGCTGTGCATTTGTCTATATTATGCAATGTGATCCATCCATTGTAAGCACATCCTCCATCATTGCCCAATCCAGTGATCACCGTCATCGCTCTGCGTCCTCCTATACCAGCCCAGACTAATCGTCATTATCACTCATGTCCTGGGAGCAGATAGCCGGGGAGTGCAATATACACAGTATTGATGTCCTTCTCTCTTCCCATTTGTTCTCTGCTTCAATATTGTCCATCATGCTTTTTTTTTTTTAACCACTTGCCCTCCAGAGGATTTCCCCCCCTTCCTGACCAGGCCATTTTTTACGATACGATGCTGCGTTACTTTAACCGACAATTGCGCGGTCATGCAACGCTGCACTCAAATGACATTTATGTCCTGTTTCCCCACAAATAGAGCTTTCTTTTGACGGTATTTGATCCCCTGTGCGTTTTTTTATTTTTTGAGCTATAAACAAAAAAAGATGGAAAATTTTGAGATAAAAACAATATTTTTGACTTTTTTGCTATAAAACATCCAGTAAACAAATCTAAAAAATCTAATTTTGTCATAAATTTAGGCCAAAATGTATTCTGCTCCATGTCTTTGCAAAAAAAAAACCTAATACGTGTAAATTAATTGGTTTACGTGAAAGTTTTAGAGTTTATAAATGGCGGTATAGATACTGGGATTTTTTTTTTTTAATAGTAATGGCAGCAATCAGTGAATTATAGCAGGACTGCGGCGAGCATTCTGACAGTAGGGGGAACTGGCTTGGTGTCACTGACATCCCCAGTGACACCAATATAGTGATCAGTGTTAACAAAAAAACACTGACACTGTACTAAGGGCACTGGGCAGGAAGGGGTTAACATGAGGGGCGATCAAAGGGTTAACTGTGTGCTGTGTGTGTTTCACTGTGAGCACACTGCTTTGCATGGCTGTGCTGTGCAGACAAAAAAAAGGGGACCATGAAAAGAGATTCACAAAAAAGTGGTTACATAATGGACAGAATATGATACTAAAAGTAGTTCCAAAAATTATGCTTTATTACACAATATAAATTGACAATTAGGGTAAATACCCTGGTTCACCATCACCTCAGTATGAGATATTACAAAAAGACCTAAAATTGCATAAAAACAACATCAAGATCGGTCTTAGTGATAGAGTGCTGCATATATAGTGACAGATAACTGTCTAATACACTTGCAGCACCAACAGATTGGTTACACCACCAGGTAGGGGGTGTGTCGAAAAATTGTACCATAAAGGTATTATATACTATGCAATACTATGCAATAATGGCTGATGTCAAGCACCAAATAACAGTGACATAATTACCCATAAACCCATAAGACAATGTGGGTGAAAAATTGTAGATAAATGTGGGGATACTATGCCCTGGTGCACTGGTAGGCACTGATATGTGGCATTGATGTGCACTGGTAGGCACTGATATGTGGCATTGATGTGCACTGGTAGGCATTGATATGTGGCACTGATGGGCACTGGCACGAGGCATTGATGGACACTGACAGGTGGCACTGCTGGGGCTACACTGATCATCAGGGCACACTGATAATCAGTGCCCTGATGATCAGTGTAAATGTCCCCTCCGTGGAAAGCCGATTATGGCTCTCCTCTCCTCTGTCAGCGTGACAGCTCGAGAGGAGAGAAATGCCAATAACTGGCATTTCCCTGTTTACATGCGATCAGCTGTGATTGGACACAGCTGACCACATGACTGAACCGACATCGTTGGCTCTTTCCGTGATTGGCGATCCACTGTGTCCGAGGGACACAGCGCACCGCGGATTGGTGCGTGCGCGCTCCCTGAGCCGCGCATGCGCAGTGAGAGTGCGAGGACGTCAGATGACGTCCTCCCAGAACGAGAGAACCACCTTGCGCCCGTCATATTACTATATGGCGGGCTGACGGTGGTTAAAGGGGCATTGAAACGCATCAAAAGTGCATGAAAAACACATAGGAACACACATGTCCTGAACTGAGATGAAGAAAAAAGAGGGGAAAACACACCGGAATGAATTGAAACTGCACAAGAATGCATCAAAGATGCACTGGGAGGCATAAAAAGTGCATGCAGAAACACATCCAGGACACAGAAATTGTGATATGAACCGGCCTCCTATTATAGTTAGTATTACTGGACCAGCTTTCAGTGGACTTCATTTTCTTGGACTTCGGAAAACCTGTTCTAAAAATGTTGCTATTAGTGCGAATTAAAGAAAAAGTATCACAGACAATAACATGGCACTACCTGCTGAAATCAGACCCAGCGCCAGCATTAGGCAGCCGCCTTAAGGCTCCAGGAAGGTGGGGAGATAAAATCCAAATCCCCAGCCACTTGCAAAATCCACTTTCACCTGTGTAGACAAAAATCCTTGCACGGCCCTGGCTATAATGTAAGTAAGCAGTGGCAATGTCCTGGGTGATGTACATTGACTAAATATGGAGCTTACATAACTATATATGGTCAATGATGTCACCCAGGATCCCCGCCGACTCCTGTAGACTGCAGTGGGGATTGTCATTATGTTTGGGTTTGGCATATTTTTTTCCTGAGTTCACAGAATCTCCTGCAAACTTTGCCCTGTTCATTCAACTCCAATCAAGATGACCTGTCATCTGACCATGTCACCCCACACCCATGATGAAATACTACCTGACAATGTTGCCCCTCCGCACTATTGCCACTAAAGGACAGATTCCCAGCTGCTGTTTGTAAACAAACCAGCCAGGGACGATGGATGATGTCATTAACCAAATATGGTCATGCCTATATTTGGTCAGTGATGTCACCCAGGGTCCTATCTGGCTCTCAAAGAGTTCAGTGGCGACTGGCGCTATGTTTGGGTTTGGCAGATATTTTTCCTGAGTTCACTGAACCTCGTGAGAACCCAACTTTGTCCAGTTTGCTCAACTTCAATCACAAAGTCCTGATGTGAGATGACCTGCCATCCAACAATGTTACCCTGCCGCCACATGACTTGCCATCTGACAATGTTGCCCCGTCACAAAATGACAAATACCCAGCTGCTGTTTGTAAACAAACCAGCCCGGGGTCCAGGTTGATGTCATTTACCAAATATGGTCCCATAGACTTCATTGGGAATTTCCGTTTTGTTTGGGTTTGGTGTATTTTTTTTTTCTGAGAACCAAACTTTACCCCAATCACACTGACCCACTGCCAAGATGATCTGCCACCCGACGATGCTGCCCTATCGATACAGTGACCTGCCACCTGATGATATGGCACCACTGATATGATGACTTGCCACCTTATGATGTTGCCCTGCCACACTACCGTCATTAAATGATAGATCACCAGCTGCTGTTTGCAAACCAACCAACCAGGGATCCTGGATGATGTAATTTACCAAAAAGAAATCCAATGAATGAAAGAGGTGACCTGATGCAAGGTGACCTGCCACCCAACAATGTTACCCTGCCACCACATGACTTGCCATCTGAATGTTGCCCCATCACAAACGACAAATAAGCAGCTGTTGTTTGTAAACAAACCAGCCCCGGGCCCAGGATGTTGTCATTTACCAAATATGGTCATGACTATATTTGGTCAATAGTGTTGCCCGGGATCCTGTCAGCTCCCATAGACTTCATTGGGAATTTGTGCTTTGGTGTATTTTTTTTCCTGTGTTCACGGATTTTCTGAGTACCAAACTTTACTCCAATCACAATGACCCACTGCCAAGATGATCTGCCACCCGACGATATTGCCCTATCGATACAATGACCTGCCACCTGATGATGTGGCCCCACTGATATGATGACTTATGATGTTACCCTGCCACACTACTGCCACTAAATGATAGATCCCCAGCTGCTGTTTACAAATCAAGCAACCAGGGATCCTGGGTGATGTCATTTACCAAAAATGAAATCCAATGAATGAAAGAGGCAGGCCAGAGCCAGTCTGACTGGGGAGGAACAAGTTAGGGAGGATGCTGCACATCCTCCACCCAGGAAATGAGGTAGGATCCACCTGACTTGCTGCAGCTTCTTATGTACATTGTGAGAAGCTCACAGTATGCAGTGAAATCAGAGTAAGCAATTTCAGTACAAGACAGGAGCCTTCCAAGACAGCAGGGAAGGCTGGAAATCTCCTTTAAATAACTCCAATCTACTCCCCCCCCCCCCCCCACCAATCTACTCCCCCCCCCTTCAGCTGGCTACATCTCTGGTTGGAAGCGGACTATGCGTTTGCTCACCTAAACTTTAAACCAGGCAACGTGCGAAGCTGTAAACAGGTGTCCCCATAAAG